TGGGACAAAAGCGAAAAGAGCAGACAGTTAAAAAAACACTCATTGGGCATTTTTCTGAAACTATGGAAGTTTGAATGCGATTTGAGGAATTTTAAGGAGAAAAAACTGTCGTTTATGGGAGGAAAATAGCCGTGGGGTAGCACCGTTCTGCTAATGAGAATGCGTGAGAAAAGCCAGGAGAGCCCATTGTTTCTTATGAACAATGTTCAAATTATAATATGGGGGACTAAGAGGATAAGTCCCTTCTAAAATCAAACGAATCAGGCCCGTAGTAGACAATTGCATGGCCTGTCTATCTGCATTCACCCAGAAGGGACATACGTTACTATCCTCATACAGCTCTCTGGCCGTTCATGCCGTACATTTTGAGAAGTTTTATTTTCGGGATTCTGTATTCAGTATAATTTTGGTACTTCCTCACAGTGACAAGAAATCTCCGGTTTTTATCATTTAACGGACAAAGAACCACTGGTATCAACGTTCGCGATATACTACTTCAAACGAATTGAACAGTTCTTTGCACAATTTTGTGATTCCTGCTATATATTGCGGTCGTACTCAAGTCATCACAGCCTGCTACTATCAGGAAGAGTTTCGTGCACAGGCAGTGCTACCATCTATGACCAGATCCGGGGACAGACGAGTTGCCCACATGATTTCTCTTCCAAGCCTGCCAGAGTGTTGGGCCTCTCATAATTTTAGGCCACTCCCCTACTGCTCACTTCCGAGTCCCGTTCATGTTGCTTATTTATTCGCCTATTCACCGAACTTAGCCGATGCAAGAAGCTAATCACATGAGATTCTTTTAACAAAGCTTATGCGTAACTCCGTGGAGTTCTTGATTTCTTGACGTTATTCAACCATATCTCCAGAACGTAAATAGACAGAACACGAGAATAGTAATCATCAGGTAGCCCTGCGCCTAATTTCAGGGAGATTAGGGTTAAGGCCAGGGTGAAGATTACTGTATAGGAATAGATGCTCCTCCTTGAATTTAGAGTAAGGCCATCTGTATTATGAAAGGTTCCTATTCTCATGTCTTACCAACAACTAGTCAAGTTCTTGCTTGAGGATATCTTCCGTTAAACAGCCAAACATTAAAGTAGTATCAAACTGCACCGGAAGAGATATCGGATGCAGAGATAGAACGCTAATCGAAGTTTGTCCATCTTTATATATGCTGACGACAGCTGTCCTCACAGATCAAGTAAAGTTCATCTTAACGCAGAAGCGGGCTTTGGCAGTATGTCACAGTCATGATGGAAGAATAGAAAGCGGATGAGCGCAGAGAGTTGCCTAGAGTTAGTCAACCCTTTACCGCTCTAAGCGCAGAGCTTGCAGGAGGATCCCCTGTGCGCACAAGAGGGACGTTCAGAACGTAGTGGTGGCCAATTTTGTTGTTGCTAACAGACGCTGGCAGAGTAGTTTGGGGTACCTCAGTGAGACCTCATAAGTCGCAGCAAAAGCTTTGCTGGGCACTCACGATGTCCGGAATCGGCAAAATATGTGAGAATGGCACTGGTTATATTCTTAATGTTGGTCCTCACAGTAAGTGGTATCTC